CACCAGTTTATTATCTTTCCATATGAATGAAGTTATTGGAACGTTGTTAAATACAGTTAAATATTCGTATGAAGTTCCCCTAGGTTCTTTAAGCATTATTTTTTCAAATGGAAACTTACAATTAGGAATTCGGTTTCTACGAACAGTTCCGAGTGTTAAAACGCCTTTTTTTGCCATGTATTGTACAAGTGGTATGGTAGTGTAGTAATTATCAAAGTAGAGTCTGTGGTTTTTGTTTTCCGGAATTATTCTACTGAGTCTTACAACAAAATTGGCACTAGCCATCAAACCAGCTTTTTATGGCCTGTTTTAATGCCATGTAATGTACAACATAATTATTTTTATGTTGTAAATTAGCGACAAGTTTTTTTATTTTTGATCCTGGCGGGGTTATCCTTTCCGCTAGATATGGTAACTCATTGTGGTCATCATGCAGTGATTGAGGGTACTCAACATCTACTTCCAAGGCCCATCCAACCTCAGACGTTTCATTCTTTCCATCCAACAAATTTAAAAGTATATTTTCGACACTTAAGTCATCATTAAACCAGCCAAATCCATCTTTCGGCATAAATCTACTCATCGCCAAGCCATAACTGTAAAATATATTACATATTTATTATTCTATTAAAAATTAACAACAATATAAATACAGATTGGTTGCGTCCAAGTAAACAATCCATGATTCAGGTTTCGATGCATCAAAGTCAGGAACCTTGATATTATTGGCCGCTGTATAACGTTTCACTGCATGAGTTAATCCACCTCGTATACCTAGAAATTAAAAAAATAAAAAATAAAAAATACATTATGAATAAAATAAAAAAATAATAAAACATACCTTGCTCTAACATCAAAATTTGGTCATAGTCGGACAAAAATTCCAAGTTAACTTCCGTATATTTCAACATGCAATCAAATGTAATACCATTGGAAGTATAATAATAATGCGGATCTAATCCATACGTCTTCAAACGCAAATCTCTAAAGTTTTCGAAGCAGTCGACCAACAACATCACATTAACTTTCAAGTACCAGTCGCTATATTCACCAAGAGTGTTACAGTCGAATTGATTCCAAACTGTCTTCACATGTTCATAGTAATCATTTGAAATATGTGTTTCATTCAAGGAACTGTAGAATTTTTCTTTTGGTGGAAGTGTCGTTTTTTTTAATTTTTCCCAACTATCAGTGTACTCATACGGATAGAGACCTTTTCTTGTCACCAAATCAATATTATTTTTGCTAAATATTTTTATTGTCTCTCTAAATTTTGAATTACCTCCTTTTCCCAAAGTGTTGACTAGTTTTTCTAAACTAGTCGCCATAAATCGGAAAGAATGTATTTGGAATGAGTTTGAAATATATTTAGTAAAAGATATCAACTTCTCTTCGGTATTAGGTATAAAATTTATAGATTTAGTGTCAAAGCCTAGTCGTGTGATCAGAAAATGTGAATCATATCTGGAAAGGGTCACCTCGGTGACGACTGCGGTCGGACTATACATTCTTACAATTGGTCCACTACTGAGCTTCGTTTTGAGGTCGTCGAACGCGGACTGGTGTTCGTCTGACCAAACGTAGGGCGTATTCGTAGCTGTAAGCTGGGTCAGTGGTTCGGCAATTTCGGCAAACTTCACAATAAAACGGTGGAAGTATCCGGCCAGGCCGAAGAAATGTCGCACTTCGTGTGCGTCTCGTGGTCGGTTTTTCGTAGTCGGATTTCGGTTCGCTTGGTATTTTGGGCGCGATCGGTACTGACGATGACCCATCGTGACGGTTATTTTTGCGATTCGACGTGTTTGGCGGAAATAGATATTGTCGTTTTGAGCGTAAACGCTCCCATTCATGGATATCCGACCGTAGACTGTCTCGATCGGTCTGTACTCGCCCAGACACCCATTCCGCCTGTTGTTGAGACCTTAAGCCTTCAAGAACATAGTCGCGTGTTTCGGTGAACGACAAGTCTAACGTACGGCATAAGCCAATCTTCGCGTAGAAGTAATCGATCAAAAATCCATCAATGAAAGAGAATAAATTATGATGTAGCCAGTAGCGCAAGTAATCTATTTACTCACCATAATAGATTAATTATTAGCAAGACTGGGCAAGTTAACGATTTTTTTTAACTCGTTAAGCTAAGTATGATTTATAACTTCATCAAGTTAAAAATTAATTGATAAAAATTATTAACTAAGCTAAAATTAACTTAATTAAAAATTTAATTATTTTTGAATCTTTAAGAAAAACATGTTGCCTAAAAAATGAATGACAAATGAGGAATTTGTGTCAAGCTCAGATTTCTGTGTCTATTAGGCGACCATGTAAAAAAGTGTGAAAGAGTAACAAACATACTTAAAACTTTTGAATTTATAATATAAGTAGGATTAAACCACAAACATAGACTATTCATAAAACCGTAGATGACCAGCTCTGTTATGGATATAACAAGGATAAAACAATAAACAGCATATTAAAACGGAGGTTCTCAATCAGTGTGTCTCATATTAACATGATGTGCACCAAAAAAAGTTTTTTATTTGTATTGAGGCATTGAGCGCATTTAAATTATAAAAATAAAATCATAAAATGAAAGAATAATATTATAATATAATATCACAATATCAAAATCGCTTCCCATTCTTGCTCCAACTGCTCATTCGCTCGCCCCAATACGAGAATATATCATTATATTCCGGAATGTCATACTTCCTTCATTAATAATCTACCTCCCACAGCATCGTCCTATACCGCCGTATGCTATGCTATAATTGAATCCCTACTTCTCATCTCCACGCTAACCCCTAACAAATTTCTAATCATAACCGACTCTCTTTCATGTTTACAAGCTCTTGTCTCAAATGTTTTCAACACACCCAACTCCCCACTCATTATTACAATCAGATCGCTCCTTCATACGCTCACCGAATTAGACTTTAATGTATGGTTTCTCTGGGTCTCTGGCCATACAGGGATCTCTGGTAATGAGACAGCAGACTCTAGCTAAATCGACAGCCTGCTTATGCTGCCCTCCATTCAGCACAATCCCATAGCCTGACTTTTGCCCAATGCTAAAAAATAGCGTTGATAAATTGTGGCTCAGATAATGGGAAGGTCTTCCCATCCATTTTGCCCCTTGGTACAGAGACATTGCGTCACCCATTTCTCCTTTCCCTTGGTTTGACAAATCTAAACTATCTCCCAAGAATATTTCATCTGTCTCTCGCCTTTGTTTCGGACACACCTTACTACCCTCGCACTCATTCAAGCTTGGCCTAAATATTCTCCCCTCTGCACTCGCCAATCTACTCCCACCACTTGAAATATCACTCACATTCTTTTTAACTGCCCATACATCTCCTCCAAACGCAAAAGCTTTCTCTCCTTAATTAATTCTCTAAACATTCCAGCCAATCCTCAATCTATCATTTCCTACAATTCTCAATCCGTTATTTTATCCTTAATTAATTTATTCAACTAAGCTGGTTTCAAAATTTAAATTAATAAAAAAAAAAAAACTTTTTCCAATTTAGTAGATTATTATATATTTATATGTTTATTGTAATTGTTGAAACTAATAGTTTTCACCAAGTTTCTTAACTCTTTCATGCACAGGTTTTTGTATGTTTTTCAGACTTTCGTTGCACGTGTATTTAAATTTTTTTTTTTAAATTTTTTTTTTTTATATATATGTTTAAAAATATGTTTAAAACAATTATCAAAAAAAAAAAAAAAATGTAGTTATGAAACTCAGGAGTTACAATATGTGGGATTACGTATATTCCACCGTACATACTGAGCTCATATTTACTCACACACTGTGCCTGTTCGTATAATGAATTTAAGGATTCGATCATTTTTTTTTCTTTGTCTACATTGAATCATTGGTCTATACATTCCTACTATTAACTATGATAAAATCAAATAATATAGAATACGGGTTTATACACATTGATTGAACACCTTACCTAGTAAAATAAATTTAAAATAATAAATAAAAAAAAAAATTATTATTACTTTTTTACATATATTTGTATAAAAAAATCAAATCCTTTCATATTATACATAAATATATAACTTAATCACATTAAAATTAAAAAAAATATGTATCAATACATTAAAACTTATTTCAAATCATAGTTCCAAGACTTTTTATCAGATTTATCGTAAATAATAATACATTAAAATTGTATACAGTTTTTAATTAAAAAAAAACTATTACTACTACTATTATATTTGCTTATATGTTTATATGTTTCATTATTGGCTTGCACTGACTTCAAACTGAAAAAAAAAATATTTTTAGTTTTGTTCTAAACTATTTTAGTTATATTATCTTATTCTAATTATTTACCAGTTTTACTTATGATGATCAGCAAAACAGTTTCGGTTTATTGTAATGCAAAGTGGAACGTTACATACTGCACACATCCATTTAGTTCTAACTTCTTTTTCTCTTGTGCTGCATTTTGCACATCTTCTTCTTGTCGATATTTTCGGCTGATGAGCTGATTTTTCCAAACGAAGAGAGTCAGGTACAAAAGGCTTGTGTTTTTAATTTCCACTGGTGATTTTTTAGTGCTTTTAGATTGACGTTTACATACTATTGGTTTGTTTAGTAGCTCCCTTGAAATATCACGTCGGAAGTTTTTCATAGTTATTGTTGTTCCAGTGGATTGTGTATATATAACATGTGCATTTACAACTGCTATATCGATGAAATGAAAAAATATACGGTGCCACCATTTTTTGCTTTTGCGGTCAATTTGGCAGGACTTTTTGTTTTGATCTAATTTATCGACGCAATTCATGTTTCCATTATAGTCTTTTAAAACTTTCGGGCAAGGTATCACTGTCAAAGTTCCGTCTTAAGCTCTCCTAGGTAAAATATCAGTGTCAGTTGGATTATGGAAATTAGATAAAAGACTAACTGATCGTTTATCTTTCCATTTAATAATTGATATTTAAAATTGATCGGTATTCCAATCATATTCCCCATGTTATAAAGACTTGTCATCTTTTAGCTGTGGTAAATGTTTTCTTGTCATGTTTACTGTTCCACACGCATAAATCCCATTTGATTTCAAGTACGACATAAACGTATAACTAGTAAAATAGTTGCCAAAGTATAAAAAATAGTTTTTATTTTTAAGTGGTGCAGATAAGTTTTTCACTACACGTGCTCCCAAATTTTTTTCTACCTTATCACCAGACTTTCCTGTATAGACATCAAAATTCCAAAGGTACCCGTACTTGTCTGCCAAAGTCCATACTTTATATCCTCTTTTTATGGGTTTTTTAGGCATATATTGTTTGGATGAATGAAGGCCTTTAAATTTTATCATTTATTCATCTATAGCTACTATTCTATTTGGATTGTATACTGCCTGACTATTTTTTTAAATTAAATTGAGAAATGGCATTACCTTGTACAATTTATCGTAGTTGGCGTCTCCTTTTTTTGGAATTACGGAATTGTCGTTCAGATGTAAATTTGATAACAACCAACTAAACCTATTCACTGGCATAATATTACTTATATAATCGTCGTGTAAATCTGGAGCAGAAGACCAGTAATCCCGATAGCTGCATTGTTTTTTTATACCCATNATTATGTAATATAGTTAATTATTTTACCTTGGATGGTGGTGATGTTAAGTCGATAATGTCAGAGGGCGTAGAAGAGTCTAGGTCTACATTATTCCTGGCATTACGCATTTTGTATACCCATTAGTAAATTCAAACCAATAAAATCATTTATTTCATTAGTATTTGTTTCTGAGTAAGGTTTTCCATTTTTTAAGTAAATTTGATTAGCATATAAATTTGTTTGAAATGTAATATAGTTAATTATTATTATGTAATATAGTTAATTATTTTACCTTAGATGGTGGTGATGTTAAGTCGATAATGTCAGAGGGCGTAGAAGAGTCTAGGTCTACATTATTCCTGGCATTA